TGTACTTTCGCTGCGGTTTTGAAATTCACTTTTCTTTCATATTTTCAAATAGTTTTCAATTTCTAAAACATATTTTAATTTTAGAAATAATTGTAAAGTATTACAAACATTATACGAGTTTCAAAAGTGATTCAAAAGTATTTGACATCCAGTTCCCAGACACTCGGATCTACACACAAATCAATAGCAGGGAATGTCAGGCAATATTAGCCGCATATGCAGTATATGTCGTGAATCGGGCCAACCCGGGCGACCCCTTCAGTACTTCTGTCGGTGTCATATCGACTCTCAGTATCGGCACTACGAGTGCAACTGCGGGTGGATTATACATACGAGGGACAGGCCCTGCAATCTATGCGGTCACCGATACACCGACCCCCTCAACCGCATTAGGCGAACCCGACTGCCCGGTGGTATATGGGAGTACCTGACCACCCATGAGGAGCGGTTCACATGGCTAATGATAGGTATCGCTATCATGATCCTGGCAATGCCAATGACATGGGTTTGGACAGGTATGCAACCCCAGTCCCTGCACAAAGAGTATCAGCCCTATTTCTCGTATATCGTACGTCCCGGCTCTTACATCCTATGGGGACTTATGCTGACCGCCTCGTATGCTATGATGGGGCCGGTATTTGATGACTACAGGCGCTGGCGGGACGACAGGTATTCAGACGTGTGGTTCCAGGACTACAACTTCCAGTCAAGAGATGAGCCATCAGTGCCCGGCTGTTGGACTCGATTTGATAGACAGACTCACGATTGAGGTGATGTATCCGAGTGGCGAACGGCTTATACTACCGGTGCCCGAAGATCTGTAAGAATATTTATGTCTCGGTTACCATTGCTTTTAAGCTCAAGTAAAGGAATCAATAGAATTGAGAGATTCTGTGATTTGAATTAACACAAGAATATTCTTTAGAGTACTTATGATAACGAATATTTATTTAAAGTCTATATAATTAATGATACGAATTGTGAACTGAAATCAGATTTTATAAAATAATAACACTTTTATTAAAACAGTCATTAAAATGAAAAATAAGTACATTTTGTTCGGTATTACCGTATTTATGATAAACATTTTAGATTTAACAATACAATTGTAAAGCTATAAAGTGTAATAAATATTATTTTATATGTAACAAACAGTTTGATCTGTATTTAAGCCATGAATACATAAATATAAAACATTGAAAAAATAAATCTAAAATATTTGTTAATAAATATTTGTCCGCCAATAGTGAGCCCACACGTGAATCTTAGTAATCATGAGTATAATAAGATTAAGATTTAGCTTAATAAGATTTAGATAAATAATCTTATTTATTGAGATTTAGCTTAATAAGTATTTTATATCATTAGCAAACTCTATATATAGCTGGGCTCAAGAATATTCCTTATCATAAAATATATAGCAATAAATATAATATATTGACATTCAATAAGTACGTACATACTTTTACGAAAATGGGGAGGAACACCTACGTTTGTATATTTACTAATAAATGAGCCCATATTTAGACGACTTGTCTGTCCTTCTTGACGATCATATAAGCAAAATAAGCGGTCAATGAGACCACTATAATGCTGAGTATATTGGTGGGCATGGGTTGGGCGAACAGGTTGTGAACTATGCCAATGACCCCCAACACCAGATACACGAATACAATGGTCTTGTTCTCACGTACGATACCGATGAGGAGTATCGCCTCAAACACGGTAAACACGATCACAAATATTCCCATAATTGTTGTGAATGTTTCTAAACAATCATTGTATAGAATATTCTGTTAGATTCCGTAATATAAATAGTTACAAGTGTTTCGATAAAATCATTGACACTGGTTAGTATTTGGGCAAAACATTGTTAATATTAAATATGAACATGTTCAGATTTTATTGAAACTCATATAACATTATTTTCAGTAATTATGATATAATGATGACTGACTGGCATCGACATCGACTTTTTCGTTGTTATGATCCAAAGTAATTGTCTTATTATCGGATGTCTTGTCGGTCGACAAGACAACGAAGGCGGCGATAAACATAACGGCCACCGCGGCCATTACTACCAGGGATATTGAGTGGATTACGATGAGGGTGATCTTGACACATCGAAAACATGTTTCGGCTTCCGGATTGAATCCGTTGTGAATTGGCTCCCCTTTCATTTGCATCATATTTGCTCCTTATTTACTTTATTATGATTTATATTGTTAAGAATATTCTTATAATTCTAGATAATTATACTATGGCTAGTAATTGTAGTATTAACTATTAATATACATACAATTCTGGTAGTAAATTAATATTAGTAATTACAGTATATTATTCACAATTTTAAACAGAATTAATGTAAATATTTGACACTTTTTAGTCAAACATCATAACTGCAGTGAAAATCGATATAAAGTCTATGCGATTCTGTGCGCTATATATCCAGTGTATGGTCGACTCAAACGCTAATATATAAGCACTTAACTGTTATTTACAGCACTTTGTTCGTAGAATTTTATTTATATAACTTTATGACCACACTATATAGCAGAATATCAAGGTCAGTGGGACTGGGATTGCAGGTAAAGTAGCAATCCTAATATTTCTGTTGACTTAGAGACAACTTTCTAATAAAAAGTCTATTCAAAAGACATGAGCATTGTTTCTGTTGAATCTTCATGTTATAGTCAATCAAAGAAAATTAATTTTATTGATTTTTATTTTAATACAATTATTTATCATAAAAATATTACTTATTAACACATTATTATTTTTAAAAATTGTTTACAAAGTTGTAATATATTGATAAGTAATTTAATATGCTAATGGGGACTCAAGATATAAGTAATTTAATAATGCATATATTTCTAGATGTATTGCAATAAAAATATCATATTTAATACTTCAGTTCTTTTGAGTTTTTACAGTATAATATATAATCCAGTTATAGAAAGTGTCTAGGTGAAAATGAGATAATAGCAAAAGCTAATAAAAAAAGATAAATTTTTTACAGTATAATACTCAAAGTTATTTAAATAAAAAAAATTGTTAGTTATTAGTTGAATATAATAATTATAATTGAATATACTTGTATTGATATGTACCTTAATCATTTATTTCATCGATATTTCAAGTAAACAGTTATATAAAACATTATCTAAAGTCACATTATATCGTACAGTAAAATGAATAAAATTATATACTGTATAGCGAAATATTATACTACCACTACTGTATATAGCGTATTACAATATTAACAATAATTTATCAGGTAAATGATTGCATTAAAAATACAAATTATATGCTTCAAAGTGAGTGGCCGTGTCGGTCGGGGACTGTATGCTAGCCATAGTGTAGAATTTGTTATATTAATTTGTGCATTTGATTGTGCATGCTGCATTTTATTTATAATTACTCAATAATGTGATTCATAAAACATATTCAAGTGCTTTAGTAATCAATTAATAATCAAATTCTGTGTAATTCTGTGACACTTAACGTGAATCCTATTGTATGACTGCAATAGCGTTTCAATCCATGAGTAACGCCTGGAAAACGCGTAATATTTTCAAAATAAACTATTAATTAAAAATCGATACAATTATCTCATTATCGCTGATAAGTCATGTCTTTGTCGCCACAATTCAGTGATAATACAAATGGCGGTCGAAGAGCACGAACTCCACAGTCGACTGACAGACACGACGCCCGACTCATCCACTTTGGAGAAAACTGTCCGCTCGCGCCGACCCCGGGGTTTGTTCAGACAGTTGGCCGGTTGAGGACCGCCGCACACCTGTCCCGCGCCCGCAGAGCCGACGAGCTATCGGAGCCCACCGTTGGGCTAGTAGTGGACGATCACGAGCTGTATAAGCGGCCGATCGCCAGAAGCACGTCGCGAATAAACGGCGCTAAAATGTCCGCCAATAACATACCGGCGCCGCCTGTGAACAGACATATATCACAGGCCAGTGGTATCGTGGGAACCGATATCTTCGACAACAACCGGTATATCCTTTCGCACGGGAAGTGTCACTTTTGGCGTAACTACGCCTACCAAGAGGTACGGGATGTTGTTTTTTAAAGTGTAGTCGAGTTGTTTGGTGCGACTATTTCAAGGGAACTGTAGGTTTCCGTCTCTTATGTTAGAGATAATTAATGACAAAAGTTTTATTGTTTTGTATTTGTGTTGTTTGAATGGCACCGTTAGGGCCACCCATACCTCAAAGTGTCACACGATGTCCACATCGAAGACATCGCGTATATAATGCACCGGAACTGGAGGATGGAGTCGCCGCGAATCGTAGCCCTTATTATCTCAAACGTGGCGCCACTTCGGGACTGGACTAACGCCAGACAAATCGCCGCCTTTAAGAAGGGGTTAATGAAGGTTTGGCTCACAAACCAACTGTCCATTGAATGCCATATTTAATAATTACTGTGTTTTATGTGCCAATAGGCGGCCAACTCGACCAATATGTGGATATTTACTAATGGGTTAAATATGGGCGCCTCCCGTCTCATTGGTGATGCCGTTGAGGACGAGATCAAGGAGTGGAAGGCCTACCGGGCCTCCAGTTCCGAGAAACCAATGCCTCACCTTAATGTGGTTGGAATCATGAGGGAAGACCACCTCAGATACGGTGACCACATCGACAGCGTTAGTATATTCTCATTACCATCGCTTATCTGATTATTGGATGTCTTTCCCCTCTATTACAGGAAAGGGTTGAACTTCAAAACGAAGGGAACGTATTCGAGGAACAAAAGTTTGAGTTGAATGACAATCACTCGCATTATCTGATAGTGAGAGACAATACGGTGTCGAAGACTGGGATCAATCTATTTGTGCTGCGAATCATACAATACCTGTCCACTATTGGCGGGCGCGCAGAGTTCGCCACCGATTTAGTGGACACGACATCGGGTCGGTTGAGCCCCGATGACAAGCTCATGGCTGCCGACATGTACTCCCTGACCAACACCGAGATCCCGGTGGTGTCTATCGTGATTCAGGGCGGCTACGACTGCGCTCGACTAGTGCTCGATCACCTAAAACGCCGTCAGCCGGTGGTGGCGCTGAGGGGGTCGGGCGGGTTGGCCGACCTGTTGGCCTTCGCGTACGTCGAGATGCAACAGAGGTGTCGCGATTTGGCCAACACGTGGGACACGGAGTACGTCGAGTCCTATCTGAAGCCGGAATTGTCGCAAAAAATCGTGAACCGGTTCCCGAAGCTGCGGAACAACACGTTAGCCCGCAATATATTCCGGGATCGGGTGCTCGAGTGCGTGCGACTGTCCCGACAGTCCGGTCGCGTATACCTCAGTGTCTTAAATATGCATAACTCGAGCTGTAATATGGAAAACCTGTCGGAGTACCTGCTGATGGCGTTATATAAATCACAACACTCGCAACACAAGTCTACCGGTGCGCCCGACACGGAACTATTGCTCAAAGACCTGTACCTGACTCTGGACTGGAACTGCCCGCACGTGGCCCGCAATGAGGTGATAGCCCGAGACCCGCAGTGCGTACTGAAGCTCGAGAAGGCTATGTTTGAGACGGCGCTGACTCGAGCCAATCGGGAGGAGTTTGTGGACCTATTCCTGAGCCACGGCTTTCGGTTGCATAAGTTCCTGACCCCCAAACGTCTCCGCAATCTATTCAAACGCATTCATAAACAGGAGTTTTTCCGGTCCGTGTGCTGGGAGGGAGTGTTGGGCCACTCGTTTGGCTCTCATCTGAACAAAGACTTCGTGGACATAGACCTGAATTGGCTGATCGAAAGCTGCACTGATCTGAATAAGTTCGTCAGCTCACAGACGCTGGCGCTGAATGTGATGGGAATGTATCCGACGGACGCGGCCAGCGCTGAACGCAAGGCGCTCGCCATACTGACCATGTGGTCGGTGTTCGGCAACCGGCAAAAGTTGGCTAAAGTTTTGTGGCGACACTGCGACCAACCCATACATTTGGGTCTGTATTGGAGTAGTAATTGGGTCGTCAATACCCATCTTCTGCCCTTCCTATCATTGATAGCAATGTTTTAATGTCTAACTCCCTGTCCACAGGTCTGATCATCTCAATGATGATGGAGCGGCTGAGTTGGTATGTCGGCGAACAGAACCTGAAGACCGAACTCAAGGATCCGTCCAAACTGTTTGCCGACTACGCCGTTGGTGTACTGGACCTGGCGTTCGGTCAGGACGAGCACCGGGCGAACGACGTGCTCAGCGAGACGTCCGTCGACTGGAACTACAAGACAGCGGTGGACATCGCGGCCAACGCCGGCCTCAGGGGGTTCTTAGCGCACCCTTGCTGTCAGAAATGGCTGACCAACACATTCCTGGGCAATATTCGGCTCCGGGAGATGAGTTGGGGTTTGTTTTCAATACCGCCGTCCGTTAAAATACTGCTGTCAGCGCTACTCGTGTTCCCGATGTACATATGGGTGCGCTTTCGAGACACCGACCAAAAGACGGGTCAATACGATAAGAATGAGGAACTGGAGGATGAGAGGGACGCCGTCGATGAGGAACGGCATCTGGTTAACGCCGAGAGTCAGGCCCAGAAGGCGGGAACGGGAGGTAATTTTAGCGCTAATATAATTGGAGGTATGGGCGACGCGCTGGAGGAAGCGTTGGGAAAGCCGGGGGAAATCATATCGAAAAATATCGATGAGTTCGCGACGAATGCCCGGCACTACCAGACAGTGATCCGGAACCGGGAGCTATTGATACGCAAACAGCCGCCGCTTAAGAGAATGGTGTGCGAAATGTGGTCGGCGCCCATCACTAAGTTCTGGACGTTTAACATGTTTTACATCATATATTTAGGTGGGAATTCATTGGACAGGCGTTTCAGTGATTAGTGTATTAAAAGCTTAAGAGAATGGTGTGCGAAATGTGGTCGGCGCCCATCACTAAGTTCTGGACGTTTAACATGTTTTACATCATATATTTAGGTGGGAATTCATTGGACAGGCGTTTCAGTGATTAGTGTATTAAATCTGTATTTTATATAGCGTTGTCCAGTCTGGCACTGATGTGGCCCTCGTGTGGGAACTTCTACTTGGACTCCACTGTGTGCGCGTGGACTGGTAGGTCTTATAATGCTGTTTAGAAACTGTGTGTCCATTATTGATATAAAACCCACTTTTCTGGGCACCCGTAGCGTTGATACTGTTGGAGCACATCCGGCGCACGTTCATATTGTACCGGAAGTACACTTCTGTGCCAATGGTGTTCAAGTGCATGGAGATCGTGGCCATCATAGTGTTTGTGGTGATCTATACGGCCGGCCGGGTATTCGATCGCCGACTATTCTCGTATTACACGATGAAAGTGATGCTATCCTTTGGGTTACTCTACTTTTATTACCGCTTATTCGCCGTCCATTTGCCGATTAGTCCCACTTTGGGGCCACTACTGTACCGCCTGAAGCTCATGATTACCGTCGACTTTGTGAACTTCATGCGAATGGCGCTACTCGTCATCTGTGGCTCAGGAGTGGTCATACAGGCCGTCCTATACCCGGATCAGCCGTTGAATCTAACAATGTTCCGGATGGCCTTCCACAGGGCGTTCTTCACGTTATTTTCGACACCGACTGATGAGCTCGAAGGTTTGTCACAAATGATACTATTTTTGTCTATTATTTATGGGGTACGGGAGGCCTAAACTGAATGTTGATTGCCATTTCTGGCTTCAGGTAAATAAAGGCTGGTATTAGAGGTTGTGTTGAATAGTAATTTGATTTCATTGAGTGTTTGTTTGATGGGTTAAAAACTGGGTTTTATTAGTAAATGGAGAGAAATATAAACTATTTATACAATTCGTAAAAAATGATAAAAATTATGACAAAAACAATCGCACATTAGATGTATTTATATACGGGTTTCCAGTGAATCATAAACCATAGCCTCCCGGAGCCGTAGTCGCGGCTCACTATCTTGCCATTAGAGCTTTCATCGGCTATCACGTCATTCACTTTGACATACAGGCGCCCAATGAGCTCATCCATGTTGAACTTATCCGAGTCGTAGAGCTCGAAGTTTAGTATAGTGTCGGGTTTGAGGGGCATCTGGTGCTCGAACATGTAGTTCCACTTCGGGGCCAATGTGTTCTTGTCGGGCGAGGTTCGGCCTACTTTGCGGTGACGGGTGCCGTCTATAACGTATAGGTCGACGTAGGCGTCGGCCCTCTTGGAGAATATCGTGCGATCCATCACTGTTTGTCATTAAATGAATCATAAATTATTTATTAAAAACATTTAATAGTTTTAAATTGTTTTTCATAATTTACTGAATATTCATTTATTGTCTATTTTAACCTCCCGGTGCAGATGAGACCACATGCAAGAGTTTTGGGCCCAATCGTACGATGGTATACAAGTCGGAAGGCTGTCCACAGGAGCGGGACCTGATGAAAGATTTGTGTCCGATGACAGGGTTTTGGCCCTACTTTTTCTCACTCCAGTACTTCATATTCCTGAAGCTGGTGCTGATGACACTCCTGTACGCCCTCTTTGCCGCCACCGCATCACGACTACAGACAGAGACCGACAATATCTGGAAGTTTCAGAGGTATATACTGGTCGTCGACTTCGCCCACCGGCTCCCACTGCCCGCCCCTCTCAACATATTCTGGTACATCTATTTCGTCCTGAAGTGGATCTACCGTTTGGTTACCTGTTATTTCTGTTGCCGAAAAGGCAGAGACGCCACGGTTTGTCTTATTCTCTCTCTCTCTCTCTCTCTCTCTCTCTCTCTCTAACTCACTCACTCATTGTCTGCCAAATAGGACGGCCGCCGAAACAACGTATTGCTGCCGATGTCTGACGAGTCGGACAAATACTACGGACAGCGACTGTCCGAAGAGGACTACAGCTATTGGCGACATTTGGCGCGAGAGTTCGCACACAAAGAGGAGCTCAAGGAAGAAGACAAGGATATCCCGAAAAGGGAGTGGGAGGCCGTCCAGACCATCACCGAGGAGATCGAGCACGAGAAGAAGGTGTTGAGGCAGTTGAAGGTATGCTCACATCCTTGTGCCCATAACCCCGTAAACATAAGTCGGAAAATTATTTATCTACTGTTCCGTAGGGAAAGGTAACCGAATTGGAGCGCCTTATGAACCAATCGCACGTCTATTTGGAAAGAATTAAACATTTGGCGACAAAACACTACGGAAACGATACGAGTGTTTCGGGCGGCACCGGTGGCTCACAGAGTTTGGTCCACTAGAATTGGAGCGCCTTATGAACCAATCGCACGTCTATTTGGAAAGAATTAAACATTTGGCGACAAAACACTACGGAAACGATACGAGTGTTTCGGGCGGCACCGGTGGCTCACAGAGTTTGGTCCACTTCCTGGCCCGACACTCGCCATACGTGGCCACACGTGTTCAACGTGTACCCGTCCCCGACAAGTACGTGGCCTGGGAGGTCATGTGGATCGACTACGACCCGGTCGCCTACACTAAACCCAAAATGGACTTCCCACTGAGCGTACAGGGGCTGGTGGACGAGGATATACTGTTGCTACAGGAACTGCAGGTGGAGGAGGTTATCTCGAAACTACCGATACTTCAGTGGAACGCCCGGTGCGTGAATCCGGCCGGTATTTCCATAGACAGACTGTCCTGGATTACGTTACTCCTGTTGGTATTGCAACAGATGTTTGACCTATTGCCTTAAGGCAACTTGGGTTAGCCGTCCTGACCTGACTCCCCATCCCCGCGTGACGGGGCAACCCCTGGGTTAGTAATACAATATGAGGTTATTACGCGGTATGAGAGGGAACGGTAGTTATTGTTTTGAGATTAAACTAATTGCTATTATCTGTAAAACAGATGGCATTCACTTAAGACATCTGGAAATGTATTGGAGTTTGTGGTGGAGAAGACTGAGCGTTGGGATCAATTGTCGCTACCGGTGGTCAGTAGGCTTTCCCCCTACCTTTCCTGTCATTTGAGTTAATTATGTTCATCCATTGAAATAGCGGTTTATTGGCGGCGAATGTCTGTACTTAGACTTACAATCGTTATTCAAAACCACTGACAACTGGACAACAAGTGATGAGATGATCAAATTTTTTAAGGGCGCGGCCCTCCCGGTGCCTATACCTCCATCAGCCATACAATCTCCAGTAGGGGAGGTGGCTGTCGACCCGTCCACTGGGCTATTAG